AGCAGGGATTGCCTAGGGAACTGTGGGAACACAAACAAAAGAGAGTGGAAAAATCAACCATTCCTTTGCTTCTAGACTCTCAATAGTTCCCTCTGCCGACAGGACAAAGTTTCCATATAGTTTTAAGTAGCCTTTAAGACCCTATGGGGGAAAGGGATGGGGACTTTCCACAAGCCCAGGTCTTGGAGCCCAAGCTCAGAAATCTCTTCTACTGAGCGGGCAGGTTGCGTGGTATGGGGTGCTCAACTTCCATATGGTCGACTGCAGTTCGAGTCCTGGACCTGGTGGCTTGCTTTCTCATTTCCCCTCTCTTTCTCTCTCTGTCTCTCTCTGGTCAAACTGACTAACAAATAAATTAAATTAAAAATAATTCTTTAGAAAAAAATCTCTTCTACAAAAAAAACACATCACATGAAATTCACAAACCTCAAAATGCAGTCAATAAACAAGCACACAAACAAAACCTTACACACTCTAGTAGCCGCACATGCAATCTAAGCATGGACAAGCACCCAGAGAATGTGCTTTGAGGTCAAATCCTGCTCATGAACTTAGGTGGGCTACTTTTCCCTGAGTAACAGCAAGACAGACACCGCATTGCCTTGAAGAAGTCTAAATTCTCTACAACACAGGGCTACTGACTGGCCGCCTCTGTGACTTCCTTGGTGCTATGTTGCTTTTCCACAGAAACTGACCCAAAACATAGCCTAATCACCAAGTGGTTCTCAAGCCTTTTCAGGCCAGGCACAATGCCCCACAGGAGCTCCTTACCTAGATCCACCCTAGCCATCCTCTCCAACCATGGCCCAGCTCAGCATATGCAACTCGTCCACCATTCAAGATTCACAAGGCATTCTGAGAACCTACTGTGTGGTAAACAAGCAAGGCAGCAGTCTCATTCACCTCACTTCACTTAATCCTACAAGCCCCTGAACCTAGCTACCACACTAACAAGGAGACTGGAGATCAGAAGTCACCCTCCTGTTATGTAGGAGGGGAGGACTAAACCAATGGTCTGTGGATTCCTCAGCCTCCCCTTCTTCCCCAAATAGGCTTGGAGTGATGACAGGTAACTCCAGACCATTCTCAAGAATGAATGCTAAGGGGACAGACCTGCCTTGCTCTTCCGTGTCCTGAGAATGGCAGGAGGCTGATAAAATGTGTGTGAAATTGACTGTATACAGTCACCTACATTCTGATTTTTTAATAAGTTATTATTTCCTCAATAACATCATAGATTTAGAATTGCTTTATCTTCTTCTCAAATGTATTTTCAATGAGAATAACTCCTGGTATGCCAATCCTAAATTTTTCTACCCTCTACTTTCACTTCTAAATTTCTCCAAATGGGGACAAGTGGTAGCACAGAGGTTACACAAATGGACCCACATGGGAAGGGTCCTTGGTTCATGCCTCCTTGGGCATGCTGGATTTATCTATTCATATATGCCCAAGATCTAAGTTGGATGAGACTGGAGGTGGATCATGATGAGAAGATTGTCTCTTCTTCCCCACACCCTAGTCACCCCAGAAGAAATAAACTTAAAAAAAAATCTTTTTAGAGGTTTTTGCTATAGGGTACGTGTGCTCACCAGAAAGAGACAGAGAGAAAGAAAGCGAGAAATCACCTCCCCAAGGAGGATGGCCACGCCACAATCCCTTCTCCATTCTCCTCTTAGGATCTTGGGCACACATGCACGTGCGCCTGGCATGAGTTTAAGTCTCCGGATCCAGGACTCAAACTGTG